CCGGGCTGGGGATTCGAACCCGCCACCTTAGGTGTACGTGGCCGGCGCCCCAGCCGGTTGAGCTATAGGCGCCGAGCCTCCATAGTCATTTTTTAACTTAGCTCCTTAATTAAGGTGCATGTCACTGTAAGTTTCAAAAACAGCTGGAACAAAAGTACACTCAGTCCCATGGTAAACATTTTACCCAAGGGAACTGTCACATACCCAGGCAGTACCTGGTTCCTGAAACTGCATCTAAGAACTGGCACAAATGCAGAGTCTCAGCCAGGCCCAGGAAACAAGGGAAACAGGAAATGCATGTACCTCTTGCAGATTACTGGTCCGCAGGTAGCCACTCTTCTGTAGGATAGACCAGGCTATCTCTGTGTCATTCACATTCATCTGGCAACCATAGGTCTCAAAGTAGACTGCAATGAGAGAGAAAGTCCACAATAGGGAAATGACAAGGACCCATATGTCTCAAAATGTCTCCTTCCCAGATGCTCCAGAAACATCTGAGGCAGCTGGTTACTCACCAAATCCCCTGTTGCCTCAATTCTAACATTAATCATCACATGTACATCAAAATTAATGAGAGCCCTTCCGAACAAAATAAATACTACATTATAAATACATACCAGTGATAAGCCATGTCCTCTAAAACATGTGGAAAACATACTTGAGAATCAAGGAAATACGGTTCTAAGATCAATTAGAAAAGGAAGAACTGGCTCGGCACCTGTGGCTCAAGTGGCTAAGGCACCAGCCACGTACACCCAAGGTGGTGGGTTCGAATCCAGCCCCAGCCCACCAAACAACAATGAGGCTGGAACCAAAAAATAGCCAGGCATTGTGGTGGGCGCCTGTGGTCCCAGTTACTCGGGAGGCGGAGGCAGGAGACTCGCTTGAGCCCAGGAGTTGGAGGTTGCTGTGAGCTGTGATGCCACAGCACTTTACCCAGGGAGACAGCTTGAGGCTCCTGTCTAAAAAAAAAAAGAAAGAAAAGAAAAGGAAGAACTAGCTGATAGTGTTTAATGGCCTGAGGGAAAAATAAGTTTAAATCGGCTCGGCGCCTATAGCTCAACCGGCTAAGGCGCCAGCCACGTACACCTAAGGTGGCAGGTTCGAATCCCCAGCCTGGACCCGCCAAACAACAATGATGGCTGCAACCAAAAAATAGCCAGGCGTTGTGGCGGGTGCCTGTGGTCCCAGCTACTTGGGAGGCGGAGGCAGGAGACTCGCTTGAGCCCAGGAGTTGGAGGTTGCTGTGAGCTGTAATGCCACAGCACTCTACCCAGGGGGACAGCTTGAGGCTCTGTCTCAATAAATAAATAAGTTTAAATCCACAAGCTGGCCAGGCGTGGTAGCTCACGCCTATAATCCCAGCACTTCGGGAGGCTGAGGTGGGTGGATTGTCTGAGCTCAAAGGTTCAAGACCAGCCTGAGCAAGAGCAAGACCTCATCTCTAAAAATAGCCAAGTTGGCTCAGTGCCTGTAGCTCAAGCGGCTAAGGCACGGAGCCAAGTTGGCTCAGTGCCTGTAGCTCAAGCGGCTAAGGCACCACCCACATACACCTGAGCGGGCGGGTTCAAATCCAGCCAGGCCTGCCAAACAACAATGACAACTACAACCAAAACATAGCTAGACTGAATGAGGCTGGAACCAAAAAATAGCCGGGCGTTGTAGTGGGCGCCTGTAGTCCCAGCTACTTGGGAGGCTGAGGCAAAAGAATCGCTTAAGGATTCTTAAGGAGTTGGAGGTTGCTGTGAGCTGCGGCACCATAGCACTCTACCCAGGGCAACAGCTTGAGGCTCTGTCTCAAAATAAAATAATTAAATAAATAAATAAATAAAATAAAAATAGCCAAGCATTGTGGCAGGTGCCTGTAATCCCAGTTACTTGGGAGGCTGTGACATGAGAATCACTTGAGCCCAAGAGTTTGAGGTTGCTGTGAGCTATGATGTCAAGTGACTCTACCAAGGGTGACAAAGTGAGACTCTGTCTCAAAAAAGAAAAAAAAAATCCACATGTTACACTCCTTTGTCACAAGATGCAAAGATCCAGCCACTAGAAATAGCAAAAATGGCCAGAAGGTACATAAAGCCAAAAATAAAAATGAAACAACTTTTCACAGTAACTTCAAACATCTTAAATGTTATGAAATAAAATTAAAACTCTGCACATAGTTGTAAAAACATGAATTTCACACTCTAGCAGCCTCCCAATCTATAGTCCTACATCATCCCTTACCCCACCAGCAGGCTTTAATCCCAGGCTCAAATAAATTCCAAGTGGAGTTAAAACTTGAATGACAATCATACAAAAACCAAGGACAACAGAAGTTATTTTAAAAGAAAGAAAACCTTCCTTGGCTCATTTTCTTTGCCTTAAAAATGAAAACACCAAGGGGAACATAATGTATAAAGGACAGCAACAAAGCAAGAGTCACAAAATACACAATATATATATATATATATATATATATATATATACAACTTGATTTACTAATTTACTAATACAAGAGATTGATTCTGGAAAAATAAGTTAACAGAAGCAATATAGATACATGAAAACATTAATTATAGTAATATTTGGGAGGGTTGGGGGGGAGGTCGGGGTTTTTTTTTGAAACAGAGTCTCACTTTATTGCCCTGGGTAGTACAGTGGCATCATCCTAGCTTACCGCAATCTCTGCCTCCTGGGATCCTCCAGCCTCAGCCTCCCAAACAGCTAGGACCACAAGCAGGTTCCTGCCACAATGCCTGGCTAATGTTTTTATTTTTAGTAGAGGTAGGGTCTCACTCTTGCTCAGGCTGTCTTGAACTCCTGAGCTCAAACAATCCTCCCACCTTAGCCTGCCAGAGTACTAGGATTACAGGCATGAGCCACTGCACCCCTCCCTATGGTATTACTTTGAAATTCTTTTTTAACAATCTAACATCTAACCACAGGAGAATAGCAAAAAAAAAGAATCATGATAGAGCATGATGAGACAGCCTATACCAATCTGTTTTTGAGAGAGAATCTCACTGTCATCCTGGGTAGAGTGCAGTAGTGTCACTATAGCTCACTGCAACCTTCAACTCCTAGTTCCAATGATTCTCCCACCTCAGCCTTCCAAGTAACTGGAAATACAGGCACAAAACATGACACCTAGCTAAATTTTTTTTAATTTATTATAGAGACAGGCTGCCCAGGCTGGTCTTACACTCCTGGCCTCAAGAAAACCTCTTGCCTTGACCTCCCAAGTGCTGAAATTACAGGTTTGAGCCACCACATCCGACCCAAATTATTTTCCTTGCAATGCAGGCATGAGTACAACACAAGGTGTGGCAGCAGGAGTCATGGCAGGACAAGCATTGAGAACGTTTCTTCCACTCTTTGACAAAGTATTGGCTGAAAGGTACGCCACCAAATGGAGGCATTATGCTTCCAGAAAAATCTCAAGGAAAAGTATTGCCAGTGACAGTCGTGACTGTTGGATCAGCCCATAAAAGAAAAGGTGGAGAGATTCAATCAGTTAGTGTGAAAGTTGGAGATAAAATTCTTCTCCCAGAATATGGAGGCACCAAGATGACAAGGATTATTTATTTAGAGATGGTGACATTTTTGGAAAGTACATAGACTAAAATAAATCACTATTGAAATGGTATCAACATGATGCTGCCCATTCCACTGATATTGTGAAATTTTTCACATAAATTATTTCCATGTCTCTCTTTTATAATAAACTAATGACATCTAAACTGCTGGGGGTGGAGGAAAGGGTATTTTAACTGATCACACAGTGTTTCTAAGAAAACTTCTGCCCGAGTACAGAGTAAATTACAATAGCATCAACTGTGAAAGCTGGTTTCTAACCTAGATGAACTAAAAATCAGAACAGAGATTATAGTTTCTAACAGTAACCAAAGAACCAAATAGAAGATTCCCAGGACTTCTCACGTGTAGCCAACACTGTGAGTTTCTTAAAATTTGTTACTTGGGGCTCGGCGCCTGTGGCTCAACCGGCTAAAGCGCCAGCCACATACACCTAAGGTGGTGGGTTCGAATCCCCAGCCCGGACCCGCCAAACAACAATGACAGCTGCAACCAAAAAAAAATAGCCGGGCATTGTGGCGGGCGCCTGTGGTCCCAGCTGCTTGGGAGGCGGAGGCAGGAGACTCGCTTGAGCCCAGGAGTTGGAGGTTGCCGTGAGCTGTAATGCCACGGCACTCTACCCAGGGGGACAGCTTGAGGCTCCGTCTCAAAAAAAAAAATTTGTTACTTGGGAGTTTGACAATTCCATAACTAATCAGCCTTCTCACTGTGAACCTTCCAAAGCCAGGTCTATATAAAGGAACGATTAAAGAATCAAGCCATGCGGCAGCACCTGTGGCTCAGTGAGTAGGGCACCGGCCCCATATACTGAGGGTGGCAGGTTCAAACTGGCCCCGGCCGAACTGCAACCAAAAAATAGCCAGGCATTGTAGTGGGCACCTATAGTCCTAGCTACTCGGGAGGCTGAGGCAAGAGAATTGCTTAAGCCCAGGAGGTGGAGGTTGCTGTAAGCTGTGTGATGCCATGGCACTCTATCAAGGGTGATAAAGTGAGACTCTGTCTCTACAAAAAAAAAGAAGAACCAAGCCATGAATGCTGGAAAGGAATAAGGCAAGAAGCCTAAAGGGATAAAAGAAGTAAAACTAACCTTTTCTCTGCCTTCCTAGAAGTTCATCCACTGTGAGATAGGGGGGTAGATCTTCCACTTCTGGAGAAGACAGCTTCTCTTGAGGAGCTGAGGCACTTCTTAAAAAATGTTGAAAAGTTGGTCCAGTGGCCAGCCTGGAGCTAAAATCCTTCTGAACTCCATCCTCCTGCCTCTCTGGACTAGGACTTGTGGTGCTGGAAAGACTGCTGTGTGCCCTGCAGGTCCTGAGCAATAGCCAGGACACAGAGGCCAACGGTCCCCATCTCAGAGACTTCTGTACTTGGAGGACACATTGTAAAGGATGCATGGCACTAAATTACTGCCCAAAACTCTGCAAAAAGAAGACAGACATCACCAGCATTTATTAAACACTATGTACAGGGTAAGGGTCTGAGCACTTTGAATGTGTTCATTCATTTATTCCTCACAAAAGCCCATAAAGAAGGCACTTTTTTTAGAGACAGAGTCTCACTTTATCGCCCTTGGTAGAGTGCTGTGGCATCACAGTCCACAGCAACCTCCAATTCCTGGGCTTAGGCGATTCTCTTGCCTCAGCCTCCAGAGTAGCTGGAACTACAGGTGCCGGCCACAATGCCCAGCTATTTTTGTTGTTGTTGCAGTTTTGCCGGGGTCAGGTTTGAACACTCCAACCTGGGTATATGGGGCTGGTGCCCTACTCAGTGAGCCACAGGCACTGCCCAGAAAGCACTTTTTTTTTTTGAGACAGTCTTGCTCAGTCGCCCTGGAGAGAGTGCCCTAGTGTCATCAGACCTCACAGCAACCTCAAACTGTTGGCCTCAAGCAATCCTCTTTGCCCTAGCCTCCCCAGTAGCTGGGACTACAGGCGCCACCATGACACCCAGCTAGTTTTTCTGTTGTTAATAGAGATGGGGTCTCAATCTTGCTCAGGCTGGTCTCAAACTCCTGAGCTCAAGCAATCCACTACTTTGGCCTCCCAGAATACTAAGATTATAAGTGTGAGCCACCATGCCTAGCCAAGCAGGCACCCTTAATAATATTATTTCTAGGCTCGGCGCCTGTGGCTCAAGTGGCTAAGGCGCCAGCCACATACACCTAAGGTGGTGGGTTCGAATCCCCAGCCTGGGCCCGCCAAACAACGATGGCTGCAACCAAAAAAAAAAATGGCCGGGCGTTGTGGCGGGCGCCTGTAGTCCCAGCTACTTGGGAGGCTGAAGCAGGAGACTCACTTGAGCCCAGGAGTTGGAGGTTGCTGTGAGCCGTGATGCCATGGCACTCTACCCAGGGGGACAGCTTGAAGCTCTGTCTCAAAAAATATATATATATATATTATTTCTATTTTATAGGTGAAAAAAGTGAAGCAACTTACCCAAGACCACTTAGAGTGCCAGAGATGAGATGCAAATCCAAGCAGCCTGTTTTCAAAGCAAAGGAATGACAGAGTTGAGATGGAAAGCACTGACAAAATAAGAAAACAGCACCTTGGGCCAGGAACGGTTCCCAAGGCTTTAAGTCTATTAACTCATCAAATCTTCACAGCAATCCTAGGCAACAGACACTATTAGTATTTCTATTCTTCTTTTTCTTTCTTTTTTGAGACAGTCTCACTTTGTCATTGTTGGTAGAGTATCATAACATCACAGCTCACAGCAACCTCAAACTCTTAGACCCAAGCGATTCTCTTGCCTCAGTCTCCCAAGTAGCTGGAACTATAGGCACCTGTCTCAACACCCGGCTATTTTTTGGTTGCAGCCATCATTGTTGTTTGGCGGGCCCGGGCTGGATTCAAACCCACCATCTTGGGTGTACGTGGCTGGCGCCTTAGCCACTTGAGCCACAAGCGCCAAGCCATAATTAATTAATTTATTTTTTTGAGACATAGTCTTACTTGGTCACCCTTGGTAGAGTGCTGTGCGTCTTAGCTCACAGCAAACTCAAACGCTTGGGTTCAGTGATCCTCTTGCCTCAGTCTCCTAAGTAACTGGGACTATAGGTGCCCACCACAAGCCCAGCTATTCTTCTTTTTAGAGATGGGGATCTCACTCTGGCTCAGGCTGGTCTCGAACCTGTGAGCTCAGGCAATCCACCCACCTGGGCTTCCCAAGTGCTGGGATCACAGGCGTGAGCCACCAATCCTGGCTAACTTGAACATTTTATTGAAACTCTAAGTTTTCTCATTTGTCAAATGGAGATGATAATATCACAAAGAGTTGTTATATTAAATGAAGCATAACATGTATGTGCCATGTATAGCATAGTGCCTGGCACATAGTAAATCATAAATGGTGGAGATTATTCACGCCGAACCTTTCCATGTAGTTTCTGTTTTGTACTTGCTGTCTGCTGACAAAGTAATATAGATTTATTTCATCAAAAGGAAAGATCAAAACCTTGGAGCAGGGCCCACATGACAGGACGTAATGTGAAGAACATTGGGTTACGATGTCTTTTTGCAAGATATGCCTTAATACAGAGGTTTGGGAGCAGTGGAGGCATCCCTGAATCCCCTGGGCTTGCTGTGATAGCCCCTCGTATTGTTCCTTTTCTTTTTTTTTGAGGCAGAGTCTCACTATGTTGCCCTTAGCAGGGTGCTGTGGCATCACAGT